ATATATATATATATAATATATATATATATATATATATATATATAAAAGAAAAAACAAAGGTCATGGCAGCCATCTCCTGAACGAACTGAACAATTTGATTTATGAGAAGCTAAAATAACATAAACAGTCAGATTGTAAACAACAGTGTAAACAACAGTGTAAACAACAGTGTAAACAACAGAGAAAAATGACCAACAAGCAGCAGCGCTGACTCAGCAGTCACACAAACAGTTATGAAACTTGTCGTTCACGTTTCTTAACAGAATCAAAGTGTTTTACAACAAGCCAGACGGTTGCTTACTACAAGAATAAAATAGTGGGAAAGATTTCATCGTAGCCAAAGGTTTTTATTTCTCTCTGCTGCTCAGAGTCTGAATGCTAATTTCTGTTTTCCAGGACGAGCATCACCAAGGACCCGTTTTATGACCTGGTGTCGATGCGGAAGAGGAAGGTCATCGGCAATGCTTCCTCCTAGGACTGAAACTGCAGACAGAGCTGATCTCAAACACGTTTTAATGAACCTTCATGAGCACTGGTGTCTGCTAAGACGTTTAAGTATTTCACAGAAAATGTACAAATTAGGAACTGACACTTGTAGTGTCGAAGGAGAACAGTAAACTCTGTGCAGCTTTTAGCGTAAAGTTTATAATATTTCTGAGAACTGCATGCACGACTGATTTAACTTCAAAAACTGATGGTTCTGCTGCAGAAAGGAGGGAGGAAGGTTACAGCGTTTTAGCTTGTTAGCATTACGAGTGTTTGAATGAACGGACCTCGTCAAAGGAAGACAAATCCTAAAAATGATGCAGTAAGATTAGAGTCGAACAGACTTAAAATAATCCCACGTAATAAACAATATTCAAACTAATAAAGGATGCATTGTAATTCTGAAGAAGATGAGCCTGGTTACAAAAAATACAACCATAAAGCATTTAAAACACATACCCAGTAATGAACAGGAATTATAGCAGTGATGAAAAAATAACCACAAACAAGAAATGCACCAGAAAACTCAAGAGGTCTATAAAGTGATTAAAAAGATACACAGAATAAGTGGACAAAGAAAGAAACAAAACGGTGCCTCACAACAATCACTTATCACTAAAAAGCAACCCGTTAACCTGAGATATAAAAAATAGCTCAGATCTGTATCACTTTGAGTTTAATTTACTTTTAACATTTTTTTCGTGTAAATAAGCTTCTGCACCGATACATGGATGTAACAATAACTGCAAGTTTTAAACAGTGTTTATTTCTTCTAATTTATGAAATGGATTTTTTTTCTGTATTTATATGTATTTAAAGTGACGTAATCAAACTAAAATAAACTTTTGAACTGAAGTGTTGCTGTTTGTCCACCAGAGGGCGCCACACCATCACTGTCTCTTGTTGCAACAAGGAGCTCATATTCAAATATCAACTTTTTTATTTTACCTTTTCAAAACCCAACTTCCCCATAATATGATCAGAACAGTGATGTGAAGTGAGATTTCTTCTTATCGAGTCATTTTCATCAAATAAACTCAGTAAATGGTGCGAGGAGTCTCTTCCTGTGCGGTTCCTGTAAACCTCATCGTAAAAAGCGGTTTTTAGAAAACGCCCTGAAATAAACAAGCTCTCTTTACTTTGTTTAAACTCGCATGGAAAGGAGAAATTCACATTATGGACATGTTTTCTCATTTATTTAACAGCTACATGTGTAAAATAAACACGTTTCCATTTAAAACACCTTTTTCCCATTTTAATCCTTACATTCTTGACAGATTTGTTAAATGTCATAGAACATGGACATTTGATGTTTAGAGCTTTCTCTGCACACCATTTCCTGTTTGTGTGCACCTCTTAAACACAATTTTCACAGTAATTTCACGATTATTGCAACATATTTGCAGAAACTGAAGTCTGCTGAAGTCCAGCTTGGATGGAGAGGCAGGTTTACAAAAATATTTTAGCTGAAGTGGTTTTGATTCTTTTTTTTTTTAGAACTTGCTGACATTTAATGGTCAATCAGGCTCCTTTCTTCACCCCGTTATTGGTGCACAGATTTTATTGTGTTCTACAATGTTACACAAGTGGACATTATGAAAAGTATTTTGTTCTTGGCGTCCTAAAATTGACAATTGAAACCTAAAATGATTGACACATAGCGTTAAATGAGCACAAACTAAGCCAAATTACTAATTTTTTTGCATACATTCTTAAATTGCATTTTTAAAACTTATTACACCCATTTTTAAAATGTTTTTCAGAATTAGATTTACTGGCGGCAAGTTTTAAATGAACAAATTGCACTTTTCTGTTTCTCAGTCTTAAAAACAGAAATTTAGAGCACGTTATTAGTCTGTGTCAGGCGCAAGCAATTAAAATAAACTTACTGAAACATAATAAACGAGAATATTTCAGGTTTTAGATTTTATTCAAGGACGCATAGATCCGTTTGTGCCACACACAGAAACAAAGTAAAAAAAAAAAAGTATCAGCCGTTTCTGTAGAAAATAACGTTCGCTGACAAAGTTGTTCAAGTTCTGACAAGTTTCCTTCTAATATTTTTATCTCTCTTGACGTTTCATCACCTAATCAACCACATAATGCGTTTCTGCAGCTTTTGCTGAACATAAACAATTGTAAAAGATTTAATTAAATTTTTCAGATCAGTTTATTCAGTATAAATAACTCGTCCATTATTCACAGCCTCTAAAACACACACGGTGTTCCTCAGGGTCCACAGTAACGCGACACTCCGAGGTGCCTCGACTGAACACTTTTCCTGTCTCCATAGCAACCGGGACTGTAAGATGTGACGTAGTACACCTATGTACTGCGAGTGTAAAACACAGCGGAATAATTTAAAACAAGAAGCCGTCGTTGGCCGTGGAGCTCCTGCCTTCTGAAGTGTTTGTTGGCGACATTGTTGAGAGGTTCTGCAGAATCGTCCTCCGTGTTGACCTTCACTGCTTTACATCCCGCAAACACTCATCAAGTGACGTCAGCCGATACGGTGACTCAGCTGCTGCAGCGTTCGTTTGTTATCAAGAGAAACTCTTTGTGCAACAATGTTTGAATGAATCTCATGACTGGATGCAGTTCTTCTTCTGATGTCGCCGCCGGCTTTTTAGTCCTGAAACAGAAACACAAAGTGTCATAAAAATATTCCAACCCTTAACCAGAGAATTTATTTTATTAAACAGTGTTAAAAATATAAAATTTAAATGTATATATATTCTTCTTTCCTAAACCCAAAGTTTCATGCATTAACTCTGGGTTTAGCTCAGCATCTCTGAATCCTTCTGATGAAACAGAGGAAACGGTCTGCTGGCTCCTCATAAATAAAGTTATTAATGTATTTTTTTAATGTAATTAATTTAATGCCCTGAGATAAACCCAAAAACGTTCGGCCTGTACTCGTAAATATCTGCGAGCTTTGTTAAGTTTACATTTTGGTTTGAGTTCTTTGGTCCTTTGTATAATTTTTAGATGTACTTTAAACATACATTTTTTTATAATTCTATAAAGAAACGTAGGCCTGTCGCGATAAATAATAAATCAATTAATCGCATGATAAATGAAATTTTAGTTTAAAAATTCTTTAACATCCATTTAAACGATCCAAAATCGTGTTTGTATCGTTAAAAGCAGCCAAGCGGAGAAGCTAAGCTACGAGCTAAGCTAACAGGCCGACTTCGGGGAAAAACCTCCGTCTTGTCGAAGCGCCAAAATTCACGGTCGCCTTCGTGTAAAAAGTTGTTTTTCTCTGCAAAAAGAAGCTGAGAACTTGTTTACTGATTTTTTAATTAAAAGATTTGTGTGAAAAATGCTATGCTAAAGAGCTCAAACCACACAGAGCGTCCGCCATTTTGAGAACCGAAGCGAGACAACCCATGCTACGTCAAGGGACCTCCCTCCCATTTTTCTTAAAGAGACACGCTGCTGCTCCCTCACTACCCATCCTTCGGTTCAAACAGTCTTATACTGCCATCCAGTGGTTGAACAATGGTACTACATGCAAAACAAATTAAAACAATTCTTCTTAAATTTGACAATAATTAATTATTGTCAAATTTCAAACAATATTATCGTTTATCGCAATAATTTCTGAGACAATTAATTGCCCAGCAAAATTTGTTATCGTGACAGGCCTAAATATATGTTTATTATGAACCAGAAAAAGTATTTGTTGCATCCAGAAAAGAGAATTAAAGCTATAAGCGAAACACGTACCTTCCTCGTTTCCCATGTTGATTGTCTGCAGAGACAAGCTTTTCTGAAGGACCTTTGAGGGTCTTTTGGGTTTGACTTTCAACAGTTCTGGTTTCTCAACAATCTCAAACGAGTCCTCCTGTCCATGTCCTGCGACGCCATTGGTCTCTGGCCCTTTACATGTGTGGGCGGGGCTCTGAGGACTGACCACACCCTCCTCTATAGTCTCTGTGCTCTGCTGGTCTCCTCTGCCTTTCAAGAAGTGCCTAAAGGAACTGCGTCTTTTCATGTTGCCTGTCTGGTTCTTCAGTTGACCCCCTTTCCCGTCCTCATCCTCCTGCTTTGCAGGTGAACCTGGACTCAGTGGGGAAACTGGACCCACCTTGTCCTTGCTGCTGTGCAAGTTCTGCAGTCCGTTCCTCTGATCGAGCCCATTGCAGAGGGAATCACTCTGGGTTGAGAGGTCTTGTAAAGAACGCGTCAGGCCTACACTGTTCCCAAAAACCAGAGCGTACTTTGGGTTGTGGTACTTATGTGCCGGGACCTTCAGGTTGATTTGTCTCGAGTCCCCGGCGGACACCTGGAATCGAGACGTCGAGACGGGCAGAGGCCGGATGTGCTCCACCTGTGGCTTCAGGATGGGCTTAAGAAGAGGTGGCTTGGTGATGTTGAACTCCCTATAGAGGTCGACCTCTTCAGACGCCGCGTACGTCTCCCTGAAGTCGGTGTCGAAGAAGTCCACAATCTGACCAGACATGACGGTGATCGTGTTCCTGTCCAGCCGGGATGAACTCCAAGTGAAGCTGAAGGGAAAGAGACGAGTCACAGCAAGAACTCAATCAACCTTAAAGCCTCTAATCATCAATCTATCACTGCTAACATTAAAAACAGCTAAATCGGTCTCCCATAAGAGCTAAAAAAACATAAAATAGCCTTGTAAAATAACCTTTAAGTTGTTTAAACATTTTTATTTTGTTGCGTACACAGGGGTCTGATTGTGTGGGGAAATGGGAAATAATAAATGTGCCTTTGTTTTAGAACCTGGGGTTAAAACTCCCTTAAATTTGATCAACTGATTGACAGATAAAGGGTTGTAAGCTCAATCATCCAGGTAAATAACAACAAAAAATGATTAAATCGTGTCATCTGGACCAGTATATTTAAGTAAGATATGTTTTGTCCCCCATCCAGAGAACTTCCTCAGCCTTCACTGCTGCGTTTCAAGCCAACCTCCTGTTGGAACCTCAAAAGTAGACTTAACACGCGAAAACACACTCATCCAAAACAATCCATCAAGTACAACAATCAGATGTTTTAGGTCAGACTTGCTACTCAATGCTGATTGGCTTGAAACGCAGCAGTGAAGGCTGAAGAAGTCCTCTGGATGTGGGACGAAACATTTCCCACTTAAAGAAACTAGTCCAGATGACACGATTTAACCATTTATGTTGATTGACAGACGTTTTTAAACGTTGAGAAATGAAACAAGTCATTTAACTATGAAACTAGGCCCTACGGTATTTAGGCTAAACTTTTGTTCAACGTCCCCAAAATTATCAGTTCAATGGCTGATGTCAAAAGGTTTCAGTTAATTATCAGTATTTATATTAGCACAGTTTTAAAACTTGTGAGTTCCTTCTACTTAAACACATACCACCCAATGTTCTCACTCTTTTTCAAAACATTTACAGCCAGAAAAAGACGAAGTCTTCCTCCAACTCTTAAAAAAATCATTTTCTCAGCTTCACAGCTGAATGCGTTCCGAGTATCGAGCCAGACGCTGCCGGTGTTCAGATGTGTTGGACTGAACCAACTCAAAGCTGAAGGTGGCGATTTGAAATATTACGTTTTTTAATTTTAAGTTTGTTACTAAGAAAGTCAGAAACAGTACGATGGAGCTTTAGGGCCCCGTTAAGAAAAAAAAATTAAAAGCCATAAAATTACGAGAATAAATCACTCAATCAAAACATAAGGTCAAACACACATGGGCCATAATAACAAAAACAGGCAAAAAAAAAATAAAAATAATAATAATACAATAAAAATAGCATGTTCATCCATTGCCATATAAATTAAGGTGCCAGTGATTCCACAGACTAGAAGAGAACCTAACTGAGCTTTGTACGGGGTTGATCAGAGTATAAATGATGCTATTTACAGAAATTGTTAACTTACACACACATCTGTAAAGCACAGCAGCACAAGTTGGTCCATTGGCATTTACAAACATCTGACTGGCACTACTCCATCGCGGCACCTTAAGCAGCATCCTCATGCCATCATTGTACACCACCTGAAGTTTATGCATACTGCTTTCTCTGTAATGCCGCCACAGGTGCAGTATACATTGGAGTACAATATGCTTTAACGAGTGCAGTTTTTACAGATACCGAGCACATAGAGAACTTCCGAAGAAGCACATTAGCTTGTACATATTGCATACAACGCTGCGTGTACATGTCCCCATCATCAGACAGCTCAGCGGTTGTGCAATGTCCCAAGTATTTCTTCTCATCACTAATTTGGAGGATGCTGCCAGACAGAGTGAAGTCAGGGAAAGATAGTTTAGTGTCCTCTTTGCTCCCGACAGTTATGATGTTATTCTTTTTTTGCATTATATTTAATGTCAAAGTCCAATCCATACGGAAAGGAAACCCTTAACAGTTGCTGCAGACCAGCACTACCTGGCCAAAAGATTACAAGATCGTCAGCGAACATCAGGTGGTTGATGGTTCTATTGCCAACCCAACAGCCAGTCTTAAAGTCGAATAAAGTCGTAATATTATGAGAATAAAGTCATACGAGACTTTTTTTTTTCCCAGCTCTCGTTTATTTATTTATTTTTCCACGAGTCGGATCCACAACGAGACCCGTCAGTCAATCCAGTAGGCGTGTCAGCAAATGACCAATCCGAAGCTAAATGAGTCGTAATATTACGCGAACTCCGACACATAAAGCAGGTTTACTGTATTTTAACTGTGGTAAAATGAATGTTGAGCATCTTGTTAAGTTATACTTTGGTTTTACAAATAAGGAGCTAGTTAATCTGTTGGCACATCAGCATCAGATTATCATCAGTATTAGGACGTTGAACCTGCTTACAGTCAGGTGGTAGCTCTGATGGGCTGCAGCAGCTCTCTGCAGGTAAGGAGCATTTATAGCGTCGGATTAGTCATTTGCTGACACGCCTACTGGATTGATTGACAGGTCACGTCGTGGATCCGACTTGTGGAAAAAAATTTAAAATAAACAAGAGCTGTTAAAAAAAGCCTTTTACGACTTTATTCTCTTAATATTAAGACTTTATTCTTGTAATTCTTGTAATTTTATGGCTTTTAACGAGAATACATCTTTAAGTACAAAAAAAAAATAATAAAAAATAAAAAGAGGGGGAGCAGCTGCTCCACCTGCTCCACTGAGCAGGCGCTCATGCATGTGCACAGTTCACACAAACTTCTCGTCAGAACGTGTTTAAATGAGTCAAAGGGCGACTCGGGACTTTTTGTTCGACAAATCAAATCAGTCGTATTTTGACTTCTGTTGATTTGCATTAAAACTGAACTGAAAGCTGCTTCAGCACGTGTGTGTGTGTGTGTGTGTGTGTGTGTGTGTGTGGTCTGGGTCACACATATTTCAGTTTCAAGCAGCACAGTACGTAAAAGGTGTGAACAAACTGATTCTACTTGGTAACAATGCAGAGTGTTATAAATAGTGTATGAATGTGTTGATGGAGGTGTTGATCGTAACAACAATCGAGGCAACGCTAAAACTAATGTTTGCACACTTCACTTTGTCGGGCTGCAGGGTTTTTTTTTTTCTGCACAGGCAGAACGGCAGCTACCACAGACAGATGGAGGAGTTGCATTATTTTTAAATTACAAATCAAACTAAACGTGACAAAAATTGTGCACAAACTGAACAGAGCTATTAATGTAGGAAAAATCCACTGGGACTATGGGTGTAACGGCTCGTGCACGCCAAAGTTTGGTATGTGCCTCAGTTTTAGGGTCACAAATAAAAACTTCCAAGCCTGAACTGTATCTCTCTTGTGAAGAAAAAGAGGTTAGTTTCTTTTTGTTCTACTTTTGATTTATGCCTCTGCACATCAATCTGGGTTGCCATGAGCACAAAACTAATAAAAATTGATAGCCTTACTATTGAATGCAGTGTTTGGACAAGTAACACTTCTAATGCAATGGTTTGGAGAGACGTTCCGTCCTTCATCCAAAGGACTTCTTCAGTCTGAGGAGTCACCAAACAAAATGGATTCATACAAACAGCATACTCCATAGTGGAATTTCACTGAGCATGAACTTTGGTGTTTTGATCCACTTTGGCATGACTGTCTCAGAGGAGTTGATGAGGGACAGGGTGGGCCCCAGAGGCCACCTTAGCACCAGCAAACTGTTTTTTTCCACTATGGAGTACGCCGTTTGTGGGAATCAGTTTTGTTTGGTGGCTCAGATTGAAGAAGTCCTTTGGATGAAGGACGAAACGTCTCAGCAATAAAAATAAAATAAATAAATAAAAAAACCATCCAGATGACCTGATTGAACATTGTTGGATTTTATACCTGGATTATTGAGCATGAACTTTGGTGTAATGGTTTGGAGTTTATAAAACTTTAAAGTTAACAGATAGCTTGTAGGATACAGCTTACTGTGAATTAGTATCAAAGTTCATGCTCAATAATCCAGGTAGAAAAATCCAACAAAGTTAAGTCAGGTCCACTGAATGGTTTCGTTTTTGTTGAAATGTTTCATCTTTTATCCAGAAGACTTCTTCAGTCCGAGGAGCCACAAAAGAAACAGTCCAGAGGACCTGACTTAACTTTGTTGGGTTTCAGAATTAGGCATTCCTCCATCAGTTTCCAGTATAAAAGGCTGATGTACAAGAAAAATGTATGTTTATATATAAATATATAAAATTTAAGCTGGGTCTGCGAGAGTTAAAACTTTGGTGTGGTATTTTCCATCTCTGGCTGGTTAATCATTTGAACAGGTATTTAGAGAAGGCATTTTGTTTCCGGTGTTATTATAACGGACAGTTCAATATGTTTCCCCTCAGGACATGGCCAGATTAATAAATAAGCTGCGGCACGTTTCTAAGACGATTCAGGTCATTCCTCAAGTTTAATGCGCCTCAGCAAGTCTTTCAGCCGTTAATAATGTGCTGGCTCAGCAGATTTTCTGTCCTCATTCTGCTTGTGTTGCAGACAAACAACTCTTCACATACACTAAAAAGTTCAGAGGTTAAGTTTTTCCTGAGACTTCGTGGCTTTGTTAATTTTTTTTGTACTTCATTTTAAATTATTTTGTTGCACTCCAGTCAACCCTGCAGGTTATGAATCACCTTTTTAAATAGATTTTGTTATATTAAGTAGACGAGTGTTTCTCCCAGCCAAATAAAAGCTCAAAAGCACTGATCGGTGCTGGATATTCACCTGTAGGTCCCAAACAGGACTTTCTCTCCGTCCACCAGCATGTACTTGGAGCCTAAGGAACCGGGCAGCTTTCCAAAGGCCAGGGCCAGCCCTGCACCTCTCACCGTCCGCACACGGAGGTTCTGTAAAGAAACGCCCACTTAGTTACACATTTCAGGTGACCCTGAGTAAACGCCGTCAGCCTCGAACATCAAACATCCTCAGCTGCGTCATGCCTCATGCTTTTATTTACACGAACGCCAAGACAAACTGAGCACCTTGTGATTTCAGACAAGATCCAGAGTCCTCCAGCTGCTTTTGTGGACACACTGGGAGGAGGCTCTGCTTCTCCCCGAGCGCCAGAGTGGGAGGTGATGCATCACGTTACCCTCTTTGGATCCGTTCTCGGGCTCTATGAATGTTCACTTGTAAGAAGTAAGAGTAACAGAGCTCGGTGCTCAGAGAAGGCATTTCACGGTGTAACCGACACCAATGTGGGCAGCTATTCCAGCACTCAAGTCAAACTACGCTGCCAAAAGTTTGCATACAGCAGATAAGGCTGGGTATTGTGTCTCGGTGGGGATAGGATGACACTGCGGCTCACTTGTATCCAACATCGACACTCACCGTCATTTTTCTGCCCATGAAACATAAAGAGAGGATTAAAATGTTAAAACTGCTGGAAAACTACACTTTAATTCACCATTATAGAAAAATCTCCTATTCAATTTGATATTTCATTTTGTTGTGCCAGGAAACATCAAATATGAATTCAAAATTTCTACGACAGCCCGACGAGTGGTTTCAGGTTCAGCAGGTTTAGTTTGGAGCCGACTGTGGTTCGAGTTGTTTACTACTTCAGCAAACAGAACAAAGAGGATCCAGGTCCAACAAACGGGACGTTTAGCCGACTAAAAGCCCGATCAGGTGCAGGCTTGAGTATACAAAGGTACATTCTACATCTGACCTATTTTTCTCAGGGAAAACAACAATCGGATGACAGAAGAGAAACCATCAGCCTGCTCACCGAAAACTATTTTAAGAGCTTGAAGTTTGCCTCTGACAAGCTTTTTGTTCCAGTAATGATTTACAGTCTGAGACACTGAAAGGACCGACTTAGATTCACATAAACAATTAACTTTCAAGGCGTCTGCAGTGACACAACAGCTGGATTGAACTATAGGAAAACTACCAGTAAGAAACCTTAAACGGTTTGGAAATATCCCTAAAACAAACTATGTAGAACCTCGTAATTGTAGTGTCATAAAACTGGCCAAAAAATTATGAAGAAAGAAATAAAAGATACATATTATTTTTACCATATTCATGGTTAACGTGTCCTTAAATGAAAAATTAAAATAAAAAAAAACATTAATTGTGAATGGCTGCCAGCAGTGGTTCCGCTAACAGCTAACAGCTAACAGCAGAACTATCGTTTCGTTTAGCGGGTTAGCCTTTTCGCTAATTTTGGAAACCGTTAGCGGAATTAGCTTCCGCTGAATTAGGTTTCACCAACTTTAAGTGCGCCAACAGAATTCACGAGCATGTTCCTGTCAGTTGTGGGCGTGTCTCGAAGAGCCCGTTAGGCACGCCATCGGCTGACTACGTGCACACGTGTAGCATTAGCGTCTACGTTACTCTGATATTGAAGGAAATAAATATTATAGCCACATGTTTCAAATTATAAGCACAGTCCTGGACATATTTTTCCACGGCTTCTGAATCACTTTAAAACTCTTCCTGGACAAGAGTCAGCAGAAACTGCTTGTTAAATGTTTTATGAATTTGGAGCAGACGCTTTAAAACATGGACAGGATTATTCTTCAACTACTCAAAAAATCATGACTCCTGTGAGGACTTCAGGTCACCAGAACATTTCCTCGATGAGCATAGTCATTTTTTTAATCTCGATAACTCCTGAAGTCAAACACAGGAGCTGGAAGACTCAGCAGGTTCCCATGTTTCCTGTTGCCGTCAGCTGGCCTCATCCCTCTGAGGTGCCCCGTCATGTTCAGTTTGAAGAGGTTTGTGCTCACCCGCAGATGCATCGCGTTAATCTGCAGCCGGGAGCACATATCCAGGAAGTCGGGAACTCCCTTGGCATCCAGCACGACATAAACGGCCACGCCGCGGCGCGACGAGGCATCCAGCAGGTCCTGGAGGATCTGCAGGTCTGTCAGAAAGTCCATGACAATGGCCACCACCTGGAAACACGTGGGGCGGGGCCGGGGGGGGGGGGGGGGGACATTAAACGAAATGAGTAAAATACAAGTTTAAAAATCATTTTACATGTACTCATGTACAAATACTCAAATATAACATATTCAACTTATGCTCCGTGTTATTCCTGACAAGAACCAATGCAGACATGTTCCCGTTTTTAGTTTTCTACAACGCCTTACAACCTAGCTGTTGGTTTTTTTTTGTGCTACTTTTCCTTTTAATTATCCTTTTTTAATTACCATGTTATTTTCGCTTGTTAAAAATAAATAAATAAATAAATCTGTACGCATCCTTTATGATTGTCTATTATTGCCTTTGTTGTCCACTGTTGTCATCACTCTGTTAATATTCAGGTCTCTCTTGTAAATGTGGCCCCGAGGCTGAATGGGACCAACCCGTATAAATAAAGGTTGAATGAATTCTGATCGTTGCTTATGGAAAGTTTTTGATAAATGACAGATTTAAATCGTTGTTACATTTTAGGAAACCTTTAGAAAACGATCTAACAAGGTTAAGTCATGTCCTCTGGACGGATTCTTCTTTGTTCCTTAGAATCCGTCCCGAGGACCCGACTTAACCTCGTTAGATTTTTCTACCTGGATTATTGAGCAGCATCACGACTTTAGAAAATGAGTTTAATAAACCCACTTTGAGACAATAAGCTGTGAAAGTTTAACAATTTCTCAAAGGATTAAGTGCAAGATATTTGAAATGTGTACTTTTACCAAGGTAGAATCTGATAGTTGTAGTTTCTTCCGTTTCAGCTGGTTAGAACAAATACATTTATGAAGCATGGATGATGTTTTAAATATGGATGTAATTTTTATTTTCCCCAAGTCAAAGCTGGAGTTATAAAAATGTGACGTCGCTAAAGATAATATTTCTACAACCCTTTGCTGGACGGCAGCAAACAGCCTGACTGGAAAAGCAGATGCAATTCTTTACATTAGTTTTAATCTTTTCCTGTCAGACCCAACAGACCAGCCTGTTCAGTTAAGAGCTCAGACCGGCAGCTTTTCTGCAGAATTAAAACCCAAACTTCTGTAACAAACCTGATATTTCTGCAGCGATGCAGCTTCTGAACTCCTCCTGCAGCACCAGGGACTTTAGAAGAACTCGTTCTCCGTGCTGCTGAAAACAGTCTGGATAAATTCCAGCGACGGTTATGAATCACCCGATCAACTAATAATATTAATATTAAATTTCTGTCCTCAGTATGACTGAACAGGAGTAAAAGGATCACAGATTTCCAGAACGTATTCTTCAGTAATGTTCTGTAAATTACACAAACGGTGGATGTTTGGAGTCAGGGTTTTTAATCCCACCACTGGGGAAACACCAGCAGTTCACGTGAGGTTTTTTTATTCCATTTCCTTTTCTGTAGTGCGTGTTTGGACCTGTTCCAGCTGACGGAACAAGTTTTTCTGACTTGCAAAAGATGAAAATGGCACAAACTCTAAACAGGATGTTGCTGCTGGGAAGCTCGAAACATGATACAATCTACACACTAAAAACACAAATTATCCAACTGTCTTGCTACTGAAGCAGGCGTCCTGCTAAAACAAAATGCAACAACTAAACCGTGTGTAACTTTTTAAAGGTTCTTATCTTGGTGCCAACAGAGTAACCATAAAGGCCAACTGCTTTGTTTTGGCAGAAATGAACAGCTGGGAAGCAGAAGAAAAGAGCTTTCAGTCATGAAAGAGATGCTCAGCTTTTAATCTAAAGATTTTACAGGAAAAGGTCAGCCAGCAGTTCATGACCGGAGGCGTTGGAAAGACCCATTTTATGCAAAAAGACGAGCATCCAAAGAGAAAAGCATAAATTAGCAACAAGACGAAGAGGAGAGCCACCTTAGAGGCATACTAAAGAAAGTTTAAATCAAGAAATCCCAGAAATACAGAGGAACTGAAACCGTTTCAAATTAAAAGACTTCATTAACTTCCACAGGAAACCTCTGACTAAAGAAGCTTTTTAAAAATACAAGCAATCGGTGAATAAAGTCATTAAGAAAGGATCTAGTCTGAAGTTGTTTGTACTCAGGTGATATTTTCAACCGTTTCATACAAATGCACATAAAAAAAAAAAAAAAAACGTATTCTCTTTAAAGTGAACTAAGAAAAACTATTCGCCAGCTTACAGAGATCATGATTTCTTTAAAAATGGTAAAAAGTTCTTCAAACCAACCTGGCCCTGTGTGGAAAAGTAATTGTCCTCTAAACCGGACGTAAACAACTTCAACCTCGTGTGGAGGAATTTATAGCTGCTGCTTCGAATCATCGTCCTGCTGCAGAACACAAGTATGCTTGACCTTAAGCTCTCAAACTGACGAACAGACGATCCTTTGAGACTTTCTTGTAGCCCAAACCATCACACTGCCACCTTTTGATTGTGGGTATGAAGCTCTGTGTCTGAAATGCACTGTAGTATCAACTCCTGATGTAACAGGACACGCATCTTCTGAAACGCTACACTTCTGTATCGTTGTCCACAGAATATTTTCCCCAAAACTCTCCGGGATCATCAAGATATTCGTCTGTAAAATGTGAGACAGGTTCTTTTTCTCAGTGGTGATTTTCACCTCAGAAGTCGCCACATGCTTTGTCTCTTACATCTCGTCGAGTCACGAACTCTGACTTGGAGGCGAATGAGGCCCGCAGAGCTTTGGATGCTGTTCTGGGTTCTTTTTGAACCTCCTGGATGAGCCGATGCGCTCGTGGAGTCATTTTAGTGGAAGGTTTGCCACCGTTAAATTTTTACCAGACAAACCTCACCAGAATGGCTCTAAGTCGATTTGTTTTCTACAGGTCTGGAAATAATCAGGCCTGGGTGTGGCTTGTCAAATTAACCTTTTTTTATATCATATTTGGAGACAATTAGTTGTTTCACATAGAGCCAGGTTGGTTTGGATAGCTTCGTTTTCCTTCACCATTTGGCTCTTGCCGAGGTCGGACACTTTTCTCCTCTTCCTCTCCGCTTTGCTGCTCTGCCTTGTCTGTGAAACTGCTTCTGAGCCTCTCTTGCATATCTTGGATTTGGTCAGTTGGTCCCTCAACACAATTGACAAAATTTCTTCGAAGAGAAGACAGACTCTAGGCGAGCCGATTTGCCCTGTTGGCATGCAGCTGGATATTTCATCGACTTGAAGACTACTTCTTGAGGAAGCTGAAGTCCGTCAACATTTGCAGCAAAATGCTGCATATCTTCTATATGTCTGTTGTCGCCGTCTCTTCTGCCATCATCTGCTGGGGTAGCAGCACCAGAGCAACTTCAAAAAGATCAACAAGCTCATAAAGAAGGCTGGCTCAGTTCTGGGGACTCCTCTAGAACCTTTGGAGATGATTGTATAAAGAAGGATTCTTCATAAAATGAAGAACATTATAGACAACCCTCAGCATCCTCTTCATCAGACCGTCATACAACAACAGTGTCTTCAGTAAGAGGCTTCTTCAAATCCGTTGTAGGACAGACCACTACAAGAGATCCTTCCTGCCCACAGCCATCAGCATCTAGAACAACTCTTTAATGAAACCAGGATGATGAGTTACCACAACATATAATTTCCCTCTGGGAATAATAAAGTATTTTTGAATTGAATTGAATTGAAGACATGTCTATCTCTGCTGCCATTTGTGGATTTTAAGGACACATATACTGTATAATTAGATTTATGATAACTGGTTCCTGCTTTTTGGATTCGGCTGGTTCCTGGTTTAACTACAATCAAGAAAGTCGTTGGCAGCAAATTTGGACCCGATCATGCCACTTGCCTTTGATGTCTTGGTTCGTGCCTCGAGCACCCAGACTCAAATGCTTTTGCCAGAATGGATCAGATCTCGGGGATTATTCTCAGGCACGGTCCATTGGTGTGGCCATTTAATTTGGATGTTTCGGAACCGAGTGGACCACCACAGACTCAACGTAGATGTCATTAAAGTTCTGCCTGTCCCCCAAACAATTGTGTGTTTATCTGAATTTGGCTTCCTTGGCTGGTCTTGCAGGCCATCTTATCTGAATTAGCCTGGCGGTCATGTAATCTGACGCTCTGTGTTTTTTCAATATTAGTTTTTTCTTCTCAGCCAAGAAAGAGTTTGATAGGAATCTTTTTTTGCCTCCAAATCCTACATGTGTCCAGTTTCACTACTTTTTGCATGTCTAAACAGATCTCACTTGAAAATTAGTCTTCGAGGCTCAGTGTGGTTTATCCATCTAAATAAATTTTGAATTGAATTTCATTCAACCTTTATTTAGACAGGTAAATCCCATTGAGCCTCGAGGACTCATTTTGAAATGAGCTGAATTGAGCATAATAAAATAAAACAGCATTTTGTATTTACTCAGGTTATATTTATTTGATAATTACATTTGTTGGTAATCTGTAAATTAGTGACAAAAAGCAAAAGCAGAAGAAACCTGTGTGTGTGTGTGTGTGGGGGGGGGGTACTTTTTCACAGCAGCATAGTTCTTTTTTCCACTCAAAATATTTAAAATAAATGAAATCAGACAGATTTTTTTGTTTGATCTGTAGCTGGATGCATCGTTGTCTACCTTTGTGTGCGCTTGTGCTTGAAGCTGTTTGATGGAAAACTTCCAATGTGACGATTGGAAACGGGTAGAAGCAGCTCAACCCTCTGACGTGGTCCGATAAGTCTTTTCTCCTCAGCTCATTTGAATGATGAAACTTTTAATGTTTTTCAGGTAAATGACTGTATATGAACTTATGTGACATATTCTGCAGTTCTACGTTAAACACTTAACGTAATTTTAGCGGTTACAATAATTTTCCACCTAAACCTGTCATTGTGTCATAAATCTTAATTTGATATGATCACTTCCTATAAAGGTTGAGGACTGCGGTATGTGGGCGTGTGTCAATCTGAACGTTAGAGGTTTGGAGCAACATATTCAAGTATCTGACAGGCTTTTATCAAAGAATGATTTACTCGACCTCAAAGGGATCAGTCGCAGCGTATGATTGGCTAATTGGGCTGCCAGTGTTGTGAGTAAACGCCTGAAAACACACAATGAACAGCATAAATTTATGAGTTAAATTACAGCTCTGCTGAACTGCTCTGGAGGCGTTTGATCTCCGTCACGTCAGATCAGATTACCTCTTCATACTGCGTTTCAGATCAGACCAATCACAGGTGAGACTTTTGGTGTGCTCACCTGAGCCAATCGGAAACCCCCGAGTGAAAGAGACGAGGCCTGTTGGGTATCAGCATTAAAGTGGGCTGGAAGAACGCGGGGGAGGTTTCATCTTTCTGCTGCGTGTCCTGATGCGAATCTGACGTTTCCAGCACGTGAACCACGAATGACTCGGCTTGTTTCAACCTGCACATGACTCCACTATTAATACGTGTCTGATCAATCGTTCCCCGATTCATTTTCATCTACAAAGTCCTGCCTATGGAACAGATCATTCACACTATTATTCAAATGTTATTTGAAAAACAATTACTTCTGCATTTTAGTCATTCATATCTCAAAATCAGCATCTGATAACTGTAAGAAATCACAGCAAACAATTAAAAAAAATGCGTTTACTGTAAGGATCCATTACGATTTCACCCAAAGGTGCTGAAACTTGATTCAGTAAAAGTGATGCTAAGTTGTTTTGACTAAAATTTGTGGAAAATTAGTCCACAGAGCTTCACTACGTGGATAAAGGGAACAGCATGGATGTGATGCATAAGGAACAGCTGCATTTACATGATTTTCCCTTTATGATGCAACTAGACAAGAAACGTTTGAATAAAAACATATTTTTAATGACTAATATGTAAATCTGAAGGAAGTAGGAGATGAGCCCAACTCCTCATCAAAAGCCAATTATGAGTTCAAAATGAAAACAAGATGGGGGGGGGGGCTTCAAATAAAGATGATTTTCTACAGAATATTTATTTGGATCATAATTAGTTAAAATGTGACTTCTTTAGATACTATATTTTTAACAACTGGACTCCAAAAATAGCCATCAAATTATATTTTTTATCTCAGAATGTAGAGATAAAAAGCTTAAAAAAAGGTTTATTTTTCTAAGGTCATATCCAAACTGTAGTGAGGAAAATGTATACTAGTAATTCAAAACGGAGATGATTATTTTATAAAGTGGTGCAGCTCTAAAGACACGTTTACATAAGTTACAGCCACAAAAGACAAATCCAGCAAAAAAATGAATAAAAAATTAAAATGAATTAAGAAGTAATCCACTCAGTCTGAGGATTTTTAAAAGTATTATACAAACAGTGGAGCAAGCCAGGGGCTTTCCTTTGTCATAACATGGTCAAACTATGATTAACCTGCAAGTTCATATATAAACTGAAGCTTTAAAATTAACTAAGTAAACTGCTGTCTGTACAAACGTCTCCTAATCTCCCAGTATGTTTACTGCTCATATTCAGACACCTGAGTTTTACTGCATGAGTCATGAAAAGATGGCATGGAGGTGTGCAGAACATATTGAGCTGATTTAAGCATTTCATTTAGAAAAAAACAAAAAAACACTAAGCAGAAACATGCCGCAGAAGAATTTAACTTTGAGCATCGTAAATATAAACAGAAAAACTGCACTTTCTGGTGTTAAAGCTGAGAGAAACACAACACTATAGTTAAAAGGTAAAATAAAAGGCTGACCAAAAAAACAAAATCAGCCAAATGCTAACTAAAAGCAGGAGAAGGTTGTGTAACAGCAGAAAGCTATCTCAAATAAAAGTAGCAAAAAACTAGGTAAAAGTAACTAAATGGTAACTTGAAGCTAAAAGTATCCTAAAATTAGTAAAACAAAGGCTAAAGTGAGCAAAGGAAAAGCTAAAGTTAGCAAAAGACTAAAATAAATAAAACAGCTAAAAGACAAAAACAAAGCAGTGTGCTGAAATAATTCCAAACAGCAAAGTTTAACAAGGATTTAAAAATTTCCCACTTTTTATGATGAGAAAGAAAAGAAGCTAAATATTTAGAATATAAAGTATGCAAAGTAAAAAAGTTAACAAAAATTAAAAAATTGCCATATTGAGCCGAACATTTTGATACAAGAAAAGTTTGATGAGTGTTGGCCTCAACTTTTGTTTAGGGCTAACTTCTGCCAATACAATTTCCACTTTTAGATAAATTAAAGCTAAATCTGAGTGATTTATATTCATTTTGAGGAGAAAAAAAACGTGGAACGAGGATATAAATATCTTGTAGCCATATGTATGCTGGAAGAGAGTATCGTTTATTTATTTATTCATTTCAAGCTGAATTCATTTAAATTCAGAACGTTTTATTTATTTATTTATTACCTTGTGTGAGCCCTGGATGAGTCTCCTCACCACCTCCTTGATGTGGGGCCCCGGCTCTTTGGGCGGGTGGGTGAACACGGACACCCGGGTCACCCCCTTGTACACGCCGCTGCTGGCCGGCCAGCCGATGTCCAGAGCCGGCGCCTCGGTGTCGGACATCTTGGGCCAGTAGGTGGAGTGGACCCCGGAGTCGGCGCTGGAGGCCCGCCGGGGCCGCTCCTGCTCCCCGGAGTCCGAGTCGCTGTCCGTGCCGTACTCCTGGAAGGTTTTGCGGATGGACTTGACCTCCCGGGCGCAGAGGAAGTCCTTGGTGTTGTCCTCCGCGAGGCGCATCTTGAAGGCTTCGTCCCCGTTCCTCAGCAGCTGCTCCACGGCCGCGCGCTGCTCCTCGCTGTAGTAAAACTCCGGGCTGGACTCCGGGACCTTCTCGTTCACGTGCTCGTGGTCCATGCACACCAGCTGGGACTCCGCCATGGCCGAGACAAGTTTTCCCCGCAGCTGCTTGAATCTACCGTTGTTCTCTGGGAGCCGCTTACCTGTGCGGACAGGTGAGGGGAGGAGCTCAGGTAGGAGCAGGGGGCGGAGCCTAAAGGGTACTGTTATGCGCGTCGTGTTAATAAAAGCTTCCTGCTGGAGACCTTCAGAGTAAAAGACACAAAGTACCCAGACTTTCACTCCCTGCGGTTTTCTGTTGTGTTGCAGGCTGATTTAAATTATTTACACATTTTACACTCAGTTTTTTCAAAATGAGTTTGCCTTTTTTTTTTTTTAAATTAACTTAGGTTTACAGTTTTATTTATTTAAAAAAAAGGTGTCAATTTAACTTAAAGAGCCCTCAAATATGACATTTACAGAATTTATACTTTTGTAACAGCATTTGAGTTCTGCTGTTACAGTCCATTAAGTCCACACGACATCTGGAGGAAACCAGGTTCCAGTGAAGCATGGTGGCGGCAGCATCATGCTGTGGGGTGTTTTTCAGCTAGAATGACTTGAAGACCCACCAGAACAGGAAAAAAGCTGAATGGAATAAACAGAAATATCTGACACAAAAAAAAATGTATACAACGCTCAGCACGTTGAGCTGGAGTAGTGGCTTTTGGGGAAATTAAGTAACTTGACTGTGTTCCAGAGCACTTAATGATTAAAACAATGTCCCAACACGTTGAAGCTGGTAAAATAAATAAATAAAAATGCCTGCAGCTCATTCGTCAATGCTGTGCAATTAAAAACTCTTCAAACGGAAACACTTCTGATTAAATATACTGAACTCTTGCATTCAAAGTTTAAAAAAATCTAATAAAACTCCACAAATCAAAGTTCCTCATTTGCAGATATACTCTACAAAATGCTGAAACGTGGCTCCATTTATACTGTACAGCTTCAGGAAACTTCATTATTAATGAGGATTTTATGCAATAAATACTCCACTAGAAGTAAAAGTATTGTATCCAAATACTGTACTTTATTATAAAAACAACATATCCAATAACAATTAATGTTATTTAATAAAATCTCAGTTTGTGCTTGACTCCATTTGTTACCAATTTGTGCATATAACTAAACTTGAAAAAATTGTAAAATCTATACTTATGTTCCTTCTTCATTGATTTGAAAGTAAATGTTAAATGTAAACTATGAAGGAAACATCCGAGTGAAAACACGTTTAACTTGTATTTAAGTGCAGCATCGCATGGAACAGGTGGGTCCAGTGTCTCAAACAGCTTTTACTTTGAAGGACAGATTTTCTTGTTTCAGCTGTAGATTTTATAAATTACCTGTGTAGCTAAATAAAATAAAAAAAAAAGATCAGATAAAAGATATACAATACAGAAGTCCCTAAATAAATATAAAAATTAAACGTGATGAAGTTGTATTTCAGTACATTTCCGCGGTAGTTCCTCACCATCAGATTTAGATGTGAAATAAAAGCCAGAAGTACTGATTTATTACGTCAGAAAGCTGCAGATCTGTAAAAACTAAAACTAACGAGCATTAAGAATAAATTCATCAGCAGCTTGGCCTACAACTTTTGCAATCCATCACTGCTGCCACACACGGGTTAATACAACCTGTGCCATCTGCAGCACTTCAGGAAGTTCCTGCAGGTGCTGCTCCAAGAAATGTTCAATAAAACCTGAACAAGCCACACTGGATCTATAAACTCTGTGCCACGGTCCTCTGCAGTGCACAGCAGAAGCTTTTGACTTTCAAAACCCCCTAAAGAGTGCTCCTTCGCCTGCAGATTGGGTCGGATGTTTCATCACAACTGTATTGTGTAATTTGCAGGAAACAACCCGCTTTTCCCTCGCAGCCTCCCCGTCCACCACGCGTGGTCGGAGCGATCCAACACCTCGATGAGGTCACCGGCGACAAACTCCAGCTCGTCGTCTTCTTCTGCTTTGAAGTCGTACAGCGCCTTCACCTGCAGCGAGGAGGCCCGCTGTGGGAGGGAAACAAATGCTCGTTAATACCTGAATGACACATCAGTGGGCAAAACTGGGCTCTGCAGAATGAAAAACAATATGGGCTTCAATAAATCCTCTATCCTGCCCAGGTCCCTTTGAACAGAACTTCACAGGTTCGATTCCTGGAGTTCACATTCTGATCACAGGATTTCCACCACTGACTTCAAACTGTTCAGGGAGCAACCATCATGTGTGTCCAACAGAGCCAAACACAGGTTTCCAAAAAGATCTTTTTGTTTATCTTTTTCTTTCTTGTAATCATGACAGTGTTTCAAGAAATTCCTTCATCCACACAGAAACATCCTAAACAAAGCTGAACGTTAATGTCTCTGGCTGCACGAGGCGTAAAATTGCCATGAAAATACACCAAAACAAGAAACAAGGCTTGAAGCATGCACACAAAGAAGAAGATGCTCCCGGGCCATAGGTTAGATCAGGGGTTTGCAAACTTTACGGTCAAAAGAGCCATTTCTGCCCCTTTTTTACACTAAATTAAACGTGTCCAGAGTCGCAATGCCTGCTACAATTCTCATTATCAACTGGTGGCCCATGGGCCACTTAAGTATGTTAGAGGTGGGGCTTTTCTGGCCAGTAGGTGTGAAATTATAAAGCTAAAAACATTCAATGATTGTTAACATTTATTATTTTTACATTTTGAAACAGAAGAAAAGACTGGATTCCATCCATCCATCCATCATCTTTACTCGCTTCTTCCTTTTCAGGTTGCGGGGGGGGGGGGGGGGGGGGGGGGTCACTTGTGTCCATATCCAGGTCGCAAGTCTATCACAGCAGACTGGATTCTTCTCAAGAAAAAAATATATATATTTTGCCTATTTAACAAAAAAAAAAAACTAAAACAATGAACTGGCTTATGTGTTGTTGGTTTTTAAATTGTGGATAATTTGAGTAAGCACGGTGGCACAACTGGTAAAGCTGCTGCCTCTCAGCGAGCAGGTCCCTGGTTCAAATCCCAGTCCGGGGCCTTTCTGGGTGGAGTTTGCATGTTCTCTCCGTGCATGCGTGGGTTTTCTCCGGGTACTGTTTCCTCCCACAGACCAAAAGCATACATGTTAGGCTGATTGGTAACTCTAAATTGTCCCTAGGTGTGAGTGAGAGAGGGAGTGGTTGTTTGTCTCTATGTGTCCCTGTGATGGACTTGCGACCCGTCCAGGGTGTACCCCGCCCCTTGCACAGTGATTGCTGGACATGGACACCGGCGACCCACGTGACCCAAAATGGAAGAAGCGGGTAAAAGATAATGAATGGATGGATAACTTCAGTATCCTATTTGAAGAAATAAAGTTAAAGTGAATATAATATACTCTGTGTATACTAGTATCCACATATTTGCAAATAAAATGACCAGAAAACTGCTAAAACTAGTAATTTTTTTCTGTGGGTATAACGTCCTATAAAATTCAGTTTTATGTTAGTTTTGGTCAAATCTTGAAAGAGCCACATGTGGCTCCAGAGCCGCACGTTGCAGACCCCTGGGTTAGATTATACTGTAGCTTTACCATTTTTCAAAGGTTGCATGTGGCCATCTAGACAAAAACACATAGATGGTGTTTTAAGGTTTGTTCACTCCAGAACTTGTTTTATGGTTCCTAAAACATTATTTCCATGTGCAGGCAAGGCTGAAACAACAATCGATTGTTTTTGCTGCAGCACCATCGTAGTTTTTCTACAGTGTACTTGGATTCTGCTTGCTGCATGACAGAGAGCCAGAATAAATCCTAACGATGTCTGAAGTGCAAAAAGTCATCCAGACTGGAGTAGTGGGGTAAGTCAGGAGTGCAGTCACTTATTTCATGACGTTTAACCCATTACTCTGTTCCTGAGAGTCAGAATCACATCCAAATACTTTTCAAATGTCTCCAAGCTACAATAACCACAAACCACCTAAACTAGAACTCAGATTGTGGACCTGCTCAGTGCTAATCCAAGTGGAAGTTTTGAATAGATCATTTCAGCTTTCACTCACCAAGCTTTTTGACGATGTTAGGAGTGGTCTAGCAGGGTTTGTGGTGACAATTCAAAGGGTTGCTGCTTTTGATTTTAATATATATTTAACCACCGAGTTTTTCCTCACTCAGAACATCACCAGTGTTAGGATTTTGATCATATTCACAAATCCTCAGTTTTCTCCTTGTGTCCCCACTTTACACCCCTTATGAGAAAATTGAAAACAGCTGAGCTTAATGCAACAGGTGTGAGAGGGCGTGGCGGGATGGAGGCGTTAGAAGCCAAACTGAAGGTAAAAACGTGGAGGAATTGACAAAATGACAACACAAGTAATATTAATCACAAGAATCACAGAACACAAGTAAAAATAATCATAAAACACAAAAAAGACAAAAAAAAAAAGGAAGAAGAAATACAGATCCTGACACGTTTTAGCTGCAGATGCTAAATTATTTTATTAATTTCCATCTACTTTGAGAAGAGGAAATCAGATTATCCTAAATTTACTATTTGTAAACTCTCAAACTATGATCAGATTTGAATAAGTTTTAAATAAACATGAAAAAAAATTTGTACAAAACATGAAAATGAGCCGTGTTGCTCATATTCAAACACCTAGATGTTTTTTCTTCAGCTTGCAGCTTGAAGACAGTGCGTATCTGTTGGGCAGGCAGAGAAAGTCCCGACATTACATTTACTAACAAGAAGGAAAAGAGGAGACCAGGACAACCCAGATGTTCAGAGTTGAAGTTCAGTCAGGAACACAACAACTGCTTCTGCATTTGATTCAGAGTGAGTACAAAGTGGTGTGAGGTACTGATTGGTGGGTGCAAACACTATCGTATTTTCCACCGTACACGTCGCACTGCCTTATAAGTCGCATCAGTCCAAATATGTCTACTAAAGTGGAAAAATACATAAATATGTCGCTTCGCCACATACGTCACATCTATCACGCGTCACCGCTGACAGCCTGGGAATGTGGACCGGTGTTGTGCCAAAAATCGATTAGCTGCCAAATGGCGGCCGCGGGAGGACTTTAACAAGAATTTAACAAGATTAACACTTAAAACAATTATTTGTTGCTCTAAATTATAGCAAAGGTGTGTTTCTGTCTAACTTTTTCTTAATAAATGCACTTTGACGGTCAAATCAGCTGCATTTCAAACGCCGATTCGCGGGAGTGCGCAGAGGGATGAGTTGCTGTGCATTTCTTCAAAATTTAACAAGATAACCACCTAAAAACAATTATTTGTTTGCTCGACCTTATAGTAAAAGGTGTGTCTCAGTTGAACTTTTACTTAATAAAAGGACTAATGGTAAAATCAGCAGCATTTCAAAAGTATTTGCTGCCCCGGTGCTCCGGAGGCGCGCAGAGGGAGGAAATCAGGAAGGAGGAACGCTGCACATTTCTTTGAAATTTCACAATATAAGCACCTAAAACAATTATTTGTTTGCTCAACATTATAGCAAAGGTGCTTCTCAGTTGAACTTCTAAATAAATGCACTTCAGTGGTCAAATTAGCTGCATTTCACCAGGGCGGTGCAGCAAAAAGAAGCTGATTTGACGGTTGCTCCCGGCATGACAAAGGTGGCAGGCTATGGCAAGCCAGTTGTGTCATTAATAGCCACTTTTACTTATTACATCACACAACAGCATTCCATATTCCTTGAGTGCCATCTAGCAGCTGAAAATGGTAGTGTTCAATATTTTCAATGTCCGAATGAATGAAAACGGTCATATCTCAGCCAAAAATTGGTTTATAAATATGGGGGAAATCCATAAATAAGTTGTTTTGGTGTATAAGTCGCAGGGTATGCAAATTAAAACAAAAAACTGTGACTTATAGGTTGAAAAACACATTAATAATTCAAATACTAGTAGTTATTTAAAAGACAGAAAACAGTTTGTACAAATAGACGATGTAAGATCTAACCTAAGCAGTATTTCATGTGGAGTGCCACAAGGCTCTGTACTTGGACCTAAGTTGTTTATTTTGTATGTACAGGTCCTTCTCAAAAAATTAGCATATTGTGATAAAGGTCATTATTTTCCATAATGTAATGATAAAAATGAAACTTTCATATATTTCAGATTCATTGCACACCGACTGAAATATTTCAGGTCTTTAATTGTTTTAATACTGATGATTATGGCATACAGCTCATGAAAACCCAAAATGCCTGTCCCAAAAAATTAGCATATTTCATACCACCAATGAAAGACAAGTGTTTTTAATACAAAAAACACCAACCTTCAAATAATCATGTTCAGTTATGCACTCAATACTTGGTCGGGAATCCTTTTGCATGAATGTCTGCTTCAATGCGGCGTGGCATGGAGGCATTCAGCCTGTGGCACTGCTGAGGTGTTATGGAGGCCCAGGATGCTTCGATAGCAGCCTTAAGCTCATCCAGAGTGTTGGGTCTTGTGTCTCTCAACTTTATCTTCACAATATCCCACAGGTTCTCTACGGGGTTCAGGTCAGGAGAGTTGGCAGGCCAATTGAGCACAGTAATACCATGGTCAGTAAACCGTTTACCAGTGGTTTTGGCACTGTGAGCAGGTGCCAGGTCGTGCTGAAAAATGAAATCTTCATCTCCATAAAGCTTTTCAGCAGATGGAAGCATGAAGTGCTCCAAAATCTCCTGACAGCTAGCTGCATTTACCCTGTGCTTGATAAAACACAGTGGACCAACACCAGCATCTGACATGAAACCCCAGTGACTGTGGAAACTTGACACTGGACCTCAAGCAATGTGAACTCTGTGTCTCCTCTCTTCCTCCAGACTCTGGGATCTTGATTTCCAAAGGAAATGCAAAATTTACTGTAATCAGAGAACATAACTTTGGACCACTCAGCAGCAGTCCCAGGCGAGATGCTTCTGACGCAGTCTCTTGTTCAAAAGTGGCTTGACCTGGGGAATGTGGCACCTGTAGCCCATTTCCTGCACACGACTGTGCACGGTGGCTCTGGATGTTTCTACTCCAGACTCAGTCCACTGCTTCCGCAGGTCCCCCAAGGTCTGGAATCGGCCCTTCTCTACAATCCTCCTCAGGGTCCGGTCACCTCTTCTCGTTGTGCAGCGTTTTCTGCCACACTTTTCCCTTCCCACAGACTTCCCACTGAGGTGCCTTGATACAGCACTCTGGGAACAGCCTATTCGTTCAGCAAGTTCTTTCTGTGTCTTACCCTCTTGCTTGAGGGTGTCAATGATGGCCTTCTGGACAGCAGTCAGGTCGGCAGTCTTACCCATGATTGCGGTTTTAAGTAATGAACAAGGCTGGGAGTTTTTAAAAGCCTCAGGAATCTTTTGCAGGTGTTTAGAGTTACGTCGTTGATTCAGATGGTTAGGTTAATAGCTTGTTTAGAGAACCTTTTCATGATATGCTAATTTTTTGAGACAGGAATTTTGTGTTTTCATGAGCTGTATGCCATAATCATCAGTATTAAAACAATTAAAGACCTGAAATATTTCAGTTGGTGTGCAATGAATCTGAAATATATGAAAGTTTCATTTTTATCATTACATTATGGAAAATAATGGCCTTTATCACAATATGCTAATTTTTTGAGAAGGACCTGTAAATGACTTGACGAAGGTGTCCAGTATCCTTAAATGTGTTCTCTTTGCTGATGATACCACTTTCTTTTATTTGGGTAAAGACTTGGAACTGATGTATGAGTTGATGAAGATGGAGTTTGTCAAAATACAAAATTGGTTTAAATTAAACAAGTTATCATTGAACCTTGATAAAACTAATTATATGATATTTAGTAAAAAAAAGATAACTGTCAATGTTCCTTTTAGAGTTGAGGGTGTTGAGATATGCAGAGTAGGTGAGGTGAAATTTTTGGGTGTAATTATTGATGATAAACTGTCATGGAAACAGCACATAAATTCTGTAAAAACTAAAATATCTAAATCCACCGCAGTACTGTATAAAGTAAGGGACTTATTGAATGATAAAGCCTTGTATTTGCTGTATAATACAATTATAATCTCGCATTTAATTTATTGTGTTGATGTTTGGGGAACAGCATGTAAAACTATAACGATGCCTATTTTTATTTTGCAGAAAAGAGCTGTAAGAATTATCACAAGAAAGCATTATTGTCATCCATCTAGTAATTTATTTTATCAATTGAAATTACTGAAGTTTTATGATTTGGTTAACTATAATATTCTTTTAGTACTGTATAAAGCTCAGAACTACACACTATCTTCAAACATTCAAACGTATTTTGTAAAAAGGAAAAGTTGCTATAATCTTAAGGGAACAGACATTTTTGTTAAACCACAGTACAAAACCAGTTTAAAGGGGTGGTCTACTTCAATTCAGGGAATAGGTCTGTGGAATAGTTTGGAAAACGATGTAAAAAAAGTAAGGTCATTGCCTATATTTAAGAAAATGATTAAGATTAAAATTTTGGAAAGATACATATAAATACGTCAAATTGTGATGAGTTAATTATTTTGTTATATTACTTATAGATGATTATTGTTTGAATTGACTGTTTGAATTGATTTTGTTTTAAACAAGGGGCAGATATAAGATTTTTTCTTCTTCTGCTACCTTTCATTTTATGACGTGTTTTTTTTCTCTCATTTGGTTTCTAAATTGTTTTTGTGTTTTAAATATGAAATGAATAAAAATGACAAACAAACAAACAAAATACTCCACACTGGCCCACTACATAACAGAAAGGCTGACCTGAGGCAGAGGCATGGTCTCAGAGGTGCGTCGGGGAGGACAAACAGAGGAGACGGGGCTGCTTCGGCCTGTGTGTCCGATGGTGTGAGCACCAGATTTTTTAGGCTAAAAACACACAACAAAGAGTAACCATACAGCGGTGAGCACTCCTCACCCACTGAAGATGCAACTCAAAGAAACTCATGCAGACTAAGCCTGTAACTGACATGAAACTTTTATTTCTTGATGGTGAGACAGAAAGGAAACAGAATTTGCTGTACCAGCTGGTTGTGGGTCTGATCTGAAGCCCTGCGAGGCGACGCAGCGACGGCTGCAGCTGTGGTTCGCTGTTCAGGCAAACTTCCTCTCTTTACCTGCAGGAAGGAAGCGCACAGGAAGTGATGCACAGAGATCTGATGAGACACGAACAGCAGGAGCAGCGAGTAACAAACAAAACTGCTTTCGTCTCTATTTATACTCCCTCAAATCAAATGGTTTTCATATTCTCTGCACCGTGGGGGGCCTTCTGTTTGAAAACAAATATTTATTTCAGCTGCTAACAATAAACAGCTAGTGGAGGAATCTATTGTGAGAAGAAATAATTAATTGAAAAATATCTAATTGAGAAAAAAGATAGCAATATAACAGCTTGACATACAAAAGAATCTATGATTGTTATAAAAAAATATTCATAAAAGCAAAAAATTAGTAAACGAGAAATCTGATGTTGTTCTTAACGAGCATAACTTATGTATAAATAGTTTTACAAAATGGAAAACAAAAAAATATTAACTGAGAAAACAAACGGATGACAGTCTCTGTACCAGTTTTAGTGAATAATTAATCAAAAAGTTGTTTAAACATTTTCTTGCAAGATTGTTACAACTGCAACAATTATCCCTTTTTGACATTTGTTTTAGCTTTTATTACACTTCCCGTCATGAAAATGTGAAATTAGGGCAAGTTTTTATTGTTAACTAAAAGCTCAAGTTAAAGTAAGATACATACTTCATATTTCTATAAATATGAGCATCATAAGCTTTAAAGAAGCTAAACAATATCAAATATTTTCTTGAATATTTAATCTTTTTTGATAGTAAATTAGTTCTCTGGGAGACTTACACGGCTGTCATATTCTATATTAATTCATATTCTACATTTTAAATAGTTTTTTAATAACGGTTGGAATAAGAAATGTGCCTACCTGGGGCAAGGAGGGGCTCCTGCTGTCTTCGCTGCCATCACTGAGGAAGATCTTCCTGGTTCTCGAGATGGAGTTGGTCTTGTAGTATTCCACCATCTTGTTTATTGAGGTGAACTTTTCGGACCACAGGAAGTACTGGCCTTTATTGTCCCTCATCACTTTGAAGTGCTGGACGTCGTTCTCATGCCTGAAACAAAAAACAGTCGAACTGTCACTCAAACGTGGATCCAAACCCAGGATCCTCACAAAAACAGCCGAAGCTCCACTTTTATATTTCCTATGGAGGAGGGGCGTACCAAAGAGACCATCTAATCACAAGCAGAACTGGTTTGTTCCACTTTGGAGTAAGCTGTTCGAGGAAGAATCAGTTTTGTTGTGTGTTTCCTTGACCGATGAAGCCTTCAGGATCGAAGGCGAAACGTTTCAGCACAAAAAAAGAAACTGTCCAGATGACCTGACTGAAAAATGTTGGATTTTATACCTGGATTAATGAACACGGACTTTGTTAATTTAGAATCTGTTTTTATGTTTCAGTCGTTTCCAGAAAATATTTTAGAAGCCTTCAAGAATTCTCTTAGATCATCTCAAGAAGCTTTAAATTTGTTAATCTCGTCTCTGGCTGTCTCATGATTTATATACTTTAAATATTGTTTTGAATTATTATTATTATTATTTAATTTAACCAGATTTAAAACCCCATTAAGCAGCACGGTGGCGCAACTGGTAGAGCTGCTGCCTCTCAGCGAGCAGGTCCCTGGTTCAAATCCTGGTCCGGGGGCCTTTCTGGGTGGAGTATGTTCTCTCCGTGCATGCGTGGGTACTCCGGTTTCCTCCCACAGACCAAAAACATGCATGTTAGACTGACTGGTAACTCTAAATTGCCCCTAGGTGTGAGTGAGAGAGTTAATGGTTGTTTGTCTCTATGTGTCCCTGTGATGGACATGTGACCCGTCCAGGGTGTCCCCCTCCTCTTGCACAGTGATTGGTGGACATGGACACCGGCGACCCCCATGACCCAAAATGGAAGAAGCGGGTAAAAGAAAATGGATGAATGGATAAAACCCCATTAAGATCAATAACTCACTACTACACCAGAACCAAACATCTCACTCATTTATTCCTTAAATGTAATTTTATGTGATTTAAAATCAAATTAAAAATGTTTTAAAGGGTTATGTATTATTATTATTTAGAAATATACATTGTAAAAAAAAAAAAGGTGAAATTGAGAGATACATACATATATATATATATATACACACACACACACACACACACACACACACACACACACACACACACACACACACACACACACACACACACACATATATATATATGTATATAAACTCCCTGCTGGATTGTGCTCTGTTGGATAATCAACAAAACTCACCTGGAGGTAAATTTCCAATCAGTGCACAACCAGAGGAGGGGACAGTCTATTTACTCAGTAATGAAGCCCAAAGCACATGTGCCACTGTGCATGAAGTTAAACAGCAGTAAATTATTTAAGGACTGCAAATACTTTCTGTACTGAACCATCGAGGAAATATAATGGCCAAATAAATAAAAAGCTAAATGAGGGATTTTCTTCTGGCATCTTCCTCATTGGGTTTGTTTGAAAATGTTCAGTTCATCTAAAATCAATCAGAATTTAAAAACCTACAATGCTGCAATTATGAACTGCAAAAATAAATAACACTGATACTAAAACCAAATAAATTATTTTTACTAAATACTTTTAGCACAGTTTAACAGATATAATTAAAGACAGCTGAAAAAGTTTAAAAGTCATTAAAATGTTAATTTACTGCTACAAAACAAACAAAGTTATGTGTCGGATAAACAGCTGCCGAGTTGGAATAAAAACAAATAATCTCTGCTTCTCTCGTTAATCTGTTGCCAATTTGGGCTTGAAATTAAATGTCCTGCAGAGTTTTCAGATGTGCGAGGAATTTAAAGGAGCGAGACGATGACTCAAAGTGTATAAATGTATGGTGTGGTCATGATAAGATTCATAAATCTCTAAATCTATAAAAATCTATTAATAAATTATATGAATAGCATTTATTTATGACGCTTGAATCACAAAAACTGAACATTCGCAAGATGTTCACACTTCAACACATTAAACAAGAAATATAATATTTCATATTCTATTATTGTTTAAGTTGAATCCAAACATTTATTGTAATCATTTTTATTTGATTGTTAATTTTGTTGTGGCAAACAATGTGGTGTTGATTTTCATTTACATTTTCCACCATTTTGCTAAAAATTCAAATTATTTTGTTAAGGAATTTATAAAAGGAATAAACAAAGCCGTTAACAGGGATGCATCAGAGATGTGCACTTTTAGAAAAGGTGACATTGAATCAAAATTTTGACTCTTTAAAAATAAATAAATAAATGGCCTTGTTGAAAAATGTAAAATTCAAGGAATTCACCTTGGCAGGTTCTACTGAACACATTAGCTCTAACAAAAATTAAGATCCAACATGCTTGTTTATAGGATCCATATTTCATTCCCTAAATGCAAAAAAAGAACACAGATGTTTCCAGATGTTTCCAGAAATGGAAACAAACCTAAAGATTCTGCAAAGAACTGACATGTTACCATGCTACAATTAGCATTTAGCTGACATATTACCGTGCTACAGTTAGCGTTTAGCTGACATGTTACCATGCTACAGTTAGCATTTAGCTGACATGT